AAWAWTTAAAATATAATTAARATAATTATYGAGTTATAACAAAATATTTAATTATCATCTTTATAAAAAAATATATTATTAAACCAAAAATAAATTATTTTGTTATTAATTCTATATCAAATTATAATAAAAAGTCGAATTAAATAAGTTGCACCAAAAAAAATGAGAACTATTAAATTGTTAATTTGATACTAATATCAATTTATTTATTTTTCAAATTTTTATGCCATCTTTAAACTTATATTTCATTCAAAAATAAAAACATTATTGTTTTCTTAAAACCATATAAAATAGTATTATATCGATAGAGACAAATAATAAAAACTAAACATTAAAATATAAATTTATTTCGCTGCATTACGCGAGTACCCTTCTAATATATATATATATATATATATATATATATATATATATATCCAAAATTTTAATCAGAAATTTTAATCATTAGATGAATTTTTTCAATAATCAAAGATCATAAAAGAAAATATATGTAAATACAGGAAAAATTACGATTAATTTAAAGAACCTAAAAAAGTTGACAGGGCATTTTGAAACTTTTTGTGTAATTAAATCATTATTCCAAACTTTCCTTAGTTTCTGATACTTTGTTCCAGGCTAAACTCTAAACTCTAGGAGCAACTTCAATAACTATGTTATTTTAAAAAAATTAGAGATCTGAGAAAAGTTTGGTTCACCAGCTATGTTAAACTCTCCTCTAAAATAGAGAGAAAAAAAGGTAAGAGAATAACGGAGAAATCTTCAAATGTGGAAGAAGAGAAGGAAAAAAAATACCGATTGTAAGTACACTTGTTATTAAAATTTTAAAAATCAATTAAAAATTAAAGTTGAGTTGATTTCAATTATATATATATATATATGCTTAGAGCATCTGTTGACATAGTTAGCAGAGGTCAGGCTTTCTGGCTTTCCCTCACGTCAAGGGCTACTTTTGCATAGGCTCTCTCTCATCAACGAGCGTAGAATGATGGAGTTAAGTGAAATAAAAGTTGGAACTTGTATGCAACACTTGTACGGGGTTGCATGCATAAAGGTTTGGAACTTTTTACGTGTATTATTAACCACTCCGGTTGTAGAGTGGGTACTAATATTAATTACGGTAAGACCCGCAAAAACACGTATGCCTATGCCATTTTGGGCTTTGCTCTAATCGAAGCTATTGCATCTTTTGCCCCCAATGATTTTCTTTTCTTCCAAATTTCAAGATTCCTCTATTTTCTCTCTGTTTTTGGTCTATTTTAAAAGAGAATTTAATATAGCTGATTGAACAAACTTTTTTGAAGTCGCTGAAATTTATAAAAAAACATAACTACCCGTTACAGTAACTGGTCCAGGTCCCGGCCTGGGCCCAAGCTAGTCCTATATTATTTTTTAAATTTCTTTTTTATAAATTTTTAAAAAATACTTTAATGTTATTCTAATACACTTTAAAATATTTAATTAGGTCAATCAAATACACTTAAAAAATACGTTTATTGTAGTTTTATAATTGGTTTTCAGTCAATACACTTAAAAATTACGTTTTATTATAGTTTTATAATTGGTTTTCAATCAAATATATTTAAAAAAAATGTTTTCTTGTAAATTTGTAATTTGATTTTCAATCAAATACACTTCGAAAGTTAGATATACATATAAAAATACATTTTCTTTGAAAAAAATCAAGCCAGACCTTGTTTTTGGATGAAAACCATAACCGGTGGTCCTAAACCTGTCCCAATTGGTCTTGGACCGGACCCATTTAGCCATCTCTAACTCTATAAGTGCTAGTGTGCTACTATACATATTGGGCCTTTAATGATACTCGATTTAGTTGGGTTCGTTAACAAGCCTGGCCCAATTCTCTGATATAAAGCTTTATCCACTGCGTTTCATTCTCCATCTATCTATCTGGATAAATGCTCTGAAATTTGGTGCACCTCCATTGAAGCAAACCTTGACAGCAATGGCGGCCATGGCTGCTCTACAGAGCTCATTTACCGCTCTTTCTCTCTCATCCAAATCATTTCTTGGCCAACGCTTCTCCCCGTGCCCCTGTCCACCTCTGGTACACTCCTTCCCCTCAATTCTACCTTGTTTGCAAATTTGTTTCAGTAATTGTGATGTACCTCTTAGAACTTCGTCAATTTAGAGTTTGATACTATGTTTTCTATATTAGTTATGTATATTATATAGTTGTTCCAGTTTAGGGGTATTTAGTGTCGAATTATTACCATTTTGGTGGCATTTCTGAGCATCTGGATGTGTTATTTGTTTTTAGTTTGATGAATTTATGAACTATTTGTGAAATTGTGGGCATTGGTAGACAGTTGATGGTGTAGAATTACTTTTATATTTTATGGAAACAAAGAATAACAATTCAGTGCTACATTTGTGAAATGGCATCTATTTTAGGAAACAAAATAAGCTCAATTGATGAGAAGATTGTTGATATGATTTCACATTGAATTTGAATAGTTTTTTTGTGTATAAAACCATATAAGTGAGGATTTTAGATGTAATTCAGATACTAGAACCTTTGACTTCAAATGGATCTTTTTATTTGGGCAACCATGGGTATCCGGGCCAGTTTACGCCTAATGACTAATCCCCCAGGTGATCACAAATAGCCTGGAGTCATCGTAGGTGAACCTCCATGGACCATGGCCACAAGGGCTTTGGCAGCTTCTGGTTTCTAGCCCGGGGAAGATGAGATTTCTACTAGATCCCCCTGAGCGTTAACCGGTGCACCACAACCCAAGTGTTAATAGTAACCTCACTGGAGTTAAAAGATTTGGGAGCTTGATTTCTTTTTTGGCATGAGATTTAGCACCACTTGAAGGGGTTAGAGACAGCTTAAAGTGTTTAATTTTGCTATGAGTGCTCAAACTTATTAGGACTTGCATTTTTATCTTCTGATTATAGGGTGATCATGGTGAAGTCTCTCTTTGAAATCTTGAGGGTTTCCTTTGAGAGTTGGTTAGGAGCCACATGGGTTGTTGCACCTCTGGGTCTGTTTTTTCCCTTGGTCCGGGCTGAGCTCCCTTAGTTGACCTTTTTAGTCATTTCCTGACTTAGCTCCTTTGGTCATGTTATTTTGGATTGGATCTTATCCATCATATCTATGTATCCTTAGGTATCCTACCCTAATTGTAGTTTTTGGGAAAATGGAATATCGGGCTGGAGTTAAATCAGAGCTTGTTATCATATTTACAAGCTAGGGGTATTCACGGAAACAGCCTCTCTACTTCGTGTCGTGGGAAGTAAGATTTGCGTACATCCTACCCTCCCCAGATCCTATTTCGTGTGGCATTTACTGGGCTCATTTGGTTTGGTTTGGTCGCTTGGCATGCCAAAATTATAATTTTTTTTCTTCTAGAATCTGCTGGCATAAATTGTTCCAAGCTTGTCAGCATTGCTTGCACTTGGTTTCAACTTTGGATCTCATCTCTTTGGTTTGTAGTGGCATGCTCTTTATGCGGACCACTGTTGCCCTTTAGGATGCATTGGGCTTGTAATGCAGGCCCTTGTTTCTGTGCTTCTTGTTTAGTATCACATTGGCAATTTTAAAGATTGAATCTGGAGAAAGAATGCAAAAGTAAACAAAGATGCTAAAGATTAGCTTTATAAGTTCATGTTCATATATGAAGACTTAGGAGGCTTACCAAATGCTTACGGGCAAGAGTCACCCCTTACCTTATCCTTAACATTTTCGGTCATCAAAATTGATTGTTGGTAAGCACCTTGTACTGCGCTTACCGGGTAAGTGTCTTCTCACTCACTTACAAAGTAAGGCTCTTGGTCCCTATTTCGCCTCTTACTGGGGAAGATTCTCGGCCTTACCATATTCACACGATAAAGTAAGTGACATCCGCTAAGTGCTTACCCAGTAGGTAAACGGCCCCTTAGTCTACTTGCAAATTGCAATCATGACTTGACTATATAGGCCTATGAGGAAATCCCTTGAATGGATCTTCTGTTATCCCAATATACCCCCTTCCACAATTAGTACTTCCCAGGACCCAGGTTCAGCAAACAAGAAAGTTACGTGCCATCATGAGAGGTAAAGTTGAGTGCAGCATCTTGTTTCTTGATGGAACCATTTTTGGAATAGAAAATTCTCACAAACTGCAGCTCAAATGTGGAATATAAGGAGTATATATGTATACAGAGTGAGGTTCAGGGGAAAAACCCCCAAAAAATGGAAAACTGAGGAACACCCTAATAACCATTCATCCATACGTGTATGCACATGTGCATACAGGTAACCAGTTTCTATGCATGTGTATGCAGATTTGCATATGAGACAAATTACTTGTATGTACATGTGCATATCGTACGGATGAACGGTTATTAGGTTGTTTCTTAATGTTCCATTTTTTGCGGTTTTCCCCTGAACTTGACCTTATATGTGTGTGTATAGAGAGAGAGGGAGTTAGTTTTCTTTGTCCACGTTTGTTGCAACAATTAGACTGGTATTGGACAGGAATGAGAGGGATACAAAAATGCATTTTTTTCTGTCCGACTAAAATAGGTGGAACAAAAATCAAGAAGATGAGACAAGCTTGGTGAGTAAATTACTAAATTACCCATGTCAAATTAAAACCTAAAACCTCCCACAAGTCTTGCACCTGCCTACCCCACTCTAGTCCATCAAGTCTTGTCGAGTCTCATCTGCATACAAATGCGCAAGAAATTTATCTTCACAATTATTTTATCATATCTGAGGACTCATTTATTCTACGATATGTTATATATGCAGGTTAAGACTACAAAAGTGCCATGTCCTCCTATCCAAGTGAAGGTTGGTATATCTTCCAATTTCTTTTGCTTCTTTTTTGTTGCCTTTTTTTTTCAAATTTTCATAGATTTTGACCTTCTTATCTACTGTTTGGTTTTCAAATTCAACTTTCGCAGCTAAAGAGATGGGAACGGATAAAATGCAAGCCGAACAGTCTTCCAATAGTTCACAAGATGCATGTGAAGCTTGGGGACACCGTGAAAGTGATAGCAGGACGCGATAAGGGTAAAATCGGCGAGATAACAAAGATTGTTAAGCACAACAGCACTGTGATTGTGAAAGAAATTAATTTGAAGACCAAACATGTGAAGAGCAAGGAGGAGGGTGAATCAGGACAGATAATTAAGGTTTAAATTTCATCTCCTTCTTAGCTACATTGGCTAAATTGTCGAAAATAGTAATTGTGGATCTTTCAATTCACTTTGTAGCCGCTTTTGTACTCAGTTGACCGAAATAGCCAAGATTTTGCAAGTAACACTTTAGCAAACTTGTGAAATCTATCTTTTATGAATTCAATATTCATAAAGTAAGAATATCACAAGTTGCAGAAGTGTTACTTGTGAAATGCTGACTTGTGGGCAAGTAGCAATTTAGCAAATTGCGCAAGTGTCATTCCCACGTCAGCGTTTAGCAAGTAGTACTTTAGCGAACTTGTGGAATCTACCTTTTATGAATTTAACATTCATTAAGTAACACTTTCACAAGTTGCTAAAATATTACTTGCGTAAAATGTTAACTTGGCAAAGAGCAATTTAGCGAGTAGGAGTGTCGTATCCACTTCGGCATTCAGCAAGTAGCACTTTGACAACTTGGGAAATTGCTACTTTTATGAATATTATATACATAAAAGTAAATTCCGCAAGTTGCTAAAGTACTACCTTGTGAAATATGACTATTTTGGTCAATTATGTGGAAAACGGCTATAAAGTGAATTGAGGGGTCAAAAATGGCTATTTCTTGGACAATTTTTGGGCTAAACCTACCAGACGGTTGCAAACTAGTTGATAAGCTAGCATATGAACCAGCTACAGTAACCCAGTTACAGTAACCGTCTCTCGTTCTCTTGGGCAGATAGAAGCGCCGATTCATAGCTCAAATGTGATGCTATACTCGAAAGAACAAAATGTTGCAAGCCGGGTGGGTCGCAAGATCCTTGAAGATGGTAAGAGAGTACGATATCTATTAAAAACGGGTGAAATAATCGACAGCGTAGAAAACTGGAAACGTGCGATCAAGGAAAGAGAGAAGAAAACAGAAGAGCTTACTGTTGCATCATGATACTAAACCAAATGAACAAATTGTAATCGCAAATTGTGTGCATTTTTTTGTTACTCAACTTCCTGTTTGTAGTTTGTGATCTAATTTTATTTGGCCTCTTTTTCATCCTCATGTTCAAACTTCAAAGTTAGATAGCACACAAGAAAACCAAAGTCTAAAGTTGGGCCTAAAATGCCTGAGCCCAAGCCTTAGGCCCAACTTGAAAGCCCGATCAGACCAATTTTTTAAAGATTCGGTACGGTTAGAGCCCGAGTTAGAAAAACAAAAAACCCAGTAAATTCGAAAAAGTCTGATCGGGCTCTCTTTCGACCCTAAATCCTGGGTCGGATCTAAAAATCCTGTACTTTTGTGGTTGCTAAAAAAATGAGCTTGGAAGACTTTAACGCATACTTAAAAGGTCGAGACCTTCGTGTACAAAAATTACATATTTACTTATTTCTTAATTTTGAAGAATACGTTGGAGCAAAAAACTTGTCCAAAATCTTCATTTTAAAAGATCTCTTCAAGATATCCATATAGCATCTCCAGCAGTTATGATAAAATAGAAATTTTGGTGGTTTTTACAGATTTTTTTGCTCCAACAGCTATGTTGTATTGTATGCTGAAATAGAGAAAAGATGAGAGAATATGAAAATTTCCAAATTTAAAAAAATCTTTAAAATAATATTTAAGAAAGAGAAATATATTTTAACTTTTCCACTAATAAAAGACTGAGGTAGATTGTTTAGGAAAAAAAATAGTATCTTATAAATATACTGATTGTTTTAATAATATTATCAATGTTATAAGGAGTTGGAAGTCGGTTTTTTTTTTAGAGGTTTTGACTTTTGATTATCTATTTTATAAGGAAATACAGCATGGTTGTTGGAAATTGACAATAATTTCTCTAAAATAGAGAATCAAAAGTTAAAATATATATATATATATATATTACATTTAGTTTCAACATATTCTTTTTTTTAAAGATTTTTCAATATTAATTGTATTATAAAAATATTTTATAATCTCTTTATATTTAAATGAAACTTTATATTAAAAAATAAATAATGAATTTCATTAATGGGAAATTATTAAAATAAAATTTATCTCTTTTTATTGTGGAGTTTTAGGGAATGTTTATTTTTTCAAAATTACCTCTTAATACCTTTGAAATCTAATTCGTTCAGCCGTTTGGGTATTAAGAGCGTTTGTTTTATTTTTAAAATAAGAGCTTAAAAGCTCTTCTGAAATTTTAAGTGGTAAATATATCACTTATTATCTCTTAATTCTAATCCGCCCTCTATCACATGGTTCATATTTTGGGGGCTGGAAGAGATTTGACAAAAAAAAAACATTAAAGCTATTTGGCAATTGTTGAATGATTTTGTACAAAATGATTAATTTATCAAAATAATTAAAAAGACTCTCATGATATAATGTAAAATGAAATATAATTAGTTAGTAATTGTTTCCAAGTAAATTAGAACACTGAATGGTTAAGGAAAGTTCATGATACAAAGTCATTCAGGGTGTTTTATATCATTAAAAAACAGAATTTTTTTTTATCAAATAAGATTCACCTTTTAAAGATTCAAAAATTAACTCTGAAACTATTAAAATAATAATTCAATCAATCACAAAAAGTTTTCCAAATCCAACCACATGTTATAAAAATAAAATCACATTGTCCATATTTTAACAATAAAATATACAATAAATTAATCAAAAAACAAAAAAAAATATTAATTAATATAAAATATTGTTAAATACAAAAACGAATCAAATATAATTTGGCGCTATGTACAATAGTCGGCTATATTCGGCGACCACTATTCACAAAAACACAGCTTTAGCGGCGTAAATACCGGCCGGTCGGAGAAATCTCACCGGCAAAATACCAGCCGGTCGGAGATTCCTAGGTTTTATTTAAAAAAATCCAACAATTTACACTAATTTTAGAGCTGGAATTTGTGTTTAAAAGTTTTCCGATGGAAATCTGCACATGCCAAAGAGGTGGCAGTCACGTGAGTAGGGGATGGGACGACAAGTGTTATGAGATAAACGGAAAATTGGGTTTAAATCCATCCGACGGTTCGTAACCCCCCCGCCACATTACCCTCTTATTCCACCGGCCGCCGTCGATCGGCTTTATTAAGAATGGAGCAAAAAAAGACTGATCCTGGTGGTGGCGGTGGTGGTCGGACGTACTGTGTCACCGGAGCAACAGGTTACATAGGATCATGGCTTGTGAAATCCCTTCTCGAAAGAGGTTTTTCCGTCCATGCCGCCGTCCGGAACCCTGGTTCGTATCCATCTTTCCTACGATTCCGATTACTGTTTGATTAATAACCTTGGGGTTTTTTCTGAAATTATCAGCGAATTGTAATAATCTTTTGGCGTTATGGGGCGGCGGCGATCGATTACGGTTGTTTAGAGCTGATTTGAATGAAGAAGGAAGCTTCGATGATGCTGTTAATGGCTGCCATGGCGTCTTTCATGTTGCTGCTTCCATGGAAGTTATCGTTAAACCTACTGATAATCGAGGTTAGTTTAGTTTAATCGTACCTTTTTAAGTTAATTATCGAGTAATTAATGATTTTTTTGGTTTTGTTTTGGGGGGTTGATGATTTTCAAGATAATTATGTTCAATCTGATATTATCGATCCTTCGATCAGAGGAGCTTTGAACATTCTGAAATCGTGTTTGAGATCGAAATCTGTGAAACGAGTTGTTTTCACATCTTCGATTAGTACGATGACTGCTCGGAACGACCACGGAGAATGGCTGCCGGTGGTGCACGAATCTTGTCGGACGTCCGTTGATGTTATCTGGAACAGAAAATCAAGTGGTTGGGTAAATCGATAATTTTCTAGATACGATGTTTTATATATATTTATACGAGAAATCGACGATTACGAGGGTGGGGAAGGATCAAACGAGAACTGTACCGTTTTACGGGAAGATTTCAAATGAAAACCAATGGTGGACCCAAGATTTTAGTGAGCGGGTTCACATTCAAGGTGGATCAAATGCCGGCAAAGTTGTCCGATGTGTTTTTAACCGAATTCCACCGTTTCAAGTGACTTTTAAGTTTTTGGTTGACTTCGAGAGACTTTTTTGGTGTTTTGGTTGATTTGAAACCAATTTTTTTGGGTCTTTTTGTTGATTGGTTCTTGTATTTTTAATATCCTGAGCACCCTTCAAAGTTTAACGTGTACAACTTTAATACTCCAAAAATGATTCTACTTTAGGACCTTGCTTGGGGTTTAAGAGATCCGGCCATGGCGAGAACACCTGAATCAGACAACCGGCTCAAGGCACCCACACACTAGTTTATCCCGATACAGTATCATATGTGATGGTTGTTTGTTTTAGGTGTTCTTGCGTTCTTGTAAAATGGTATTGTTCTCATTTGAAACTCCACCTACGGGTAGTTAGGCAGTTGATAGATAAGATCGAAACGGATCAGAGACATGTTAAGAAGCTCTGATTCCGAAGGCAACTCAGAAGCTCTTATCGAAATGGACCACTGCCCTTTGGACTTTGCTTTATGGCGATCTAAAGGGCTGTTTGGTTGGTTTGTCAGTAATTCTTGTATGAATAAAGTTGTATGAGTGAATTAATCTGTTTGTATAGATTGAGATTTTTTTAAAGGTTTTTTTTATAGATAGATAAAGCATGTTTTTTATCTCGGATTACGTTTGAAAAAAAACTTGCTTTTCTGGAGAAAGCTCCTTTCTATAAGAGCATCTCCGACTCATCAAATTAAGAACTTACATAAAAATCTACAACGGTAGATCTTATAAGAACCTCATTTTTACGGGTCCCATCAAGATGTAAGTCTTATTAAGCTCATTAAGCTGCTAATAAATAGACCCTAAAAACATCTTCAACAAGTATGCTACATTTTCTCTCTCTTCCAAGTTCCTAATCTAGAGATTTCTTCTTTCTCTCACCTACTTTTTTCTATTTTAGAAGAGAGTTCACCGAAGCTTTTGAAGCAAGCTTTTCTCAGATCTCCAAATTTTCTAAAATGACATAATTGTTGGAGATGCTCTAAGGTGATAAAACCAACATTTGTGAGTGTGTACTCTGCACCTCCAGCATCACGTTATGAATGTCTTATCACCCGCTCCGTTCCTCTTAAATCACAATTACACCAAAATGATTGATAACACTAAAATCACCAACAGCGTGGCCGTATAACTGGCCGCTGTAAAAGCATTACATCTTCCTAATCCAAGATTACTCGTTATGCAGGTTTACGTGCTCTCCAAGCGTCTAACCGAAGACGCCGCATTTCAATTCGCAAACGAAAACGGTATCCGTCTTGTATCTATCATCACCACCACCGTTGCCGGCCCTTTCCTCACTTCGACCGTTCCCTTAAGCATTCGAGTTCTCCTCTCTCCGCTAACAGGTTTTCAGCATTTGTTCTTCATGGATCGATGATTCTACACGCTTCCTGCTCTAACATGTTGATTTTGAATTTTGACCGCACGTAGGCGACTCTGAACTGTTACCGATATTATCTTCTGTGAATTCAAGAATGGGCTCGGTTGCTTTGGTTCATACGGAAGACATATGCAATGCTCACATGTACCTTATGGAGCACGATCGAGCCGAAGGGCGATACATCTGCTGCACCAATAGCTGCACAATCTCTGAATTGGTTCATCATCTAGCAAAACTGTATCCTTCCCCTAATTTACAAAGGTGGGTATTGAAGATTTGATCTTTTTGTACATGGGGAAATTGTCTTAAATAGCCATTTTTACCTTCCCCACCCCCTTCCCAAATTCCGTTCATCGGACTTTTTCTACTCAATTGACCGAAATTACTGGAGATGACGGAAATAGCACTTTCACAACTTTTGCGACTTGTTCAAGTGTTACTTTATGAATATTATATTATATATATATATATATATATATATATATAAAGTAGATTTTGTAAGTTGCTAAAGTGCTACTTGCGAATTCTTGGCTATTAAAGTCAATTATGTAGAAAAGCGGATATAAATTGAGGGGGTGTTTGGTTAGATGTATTAAGCAGTAATCAATGAGAATAAAAGAAACTGTTTGGTTTTCTACAATATAACGGGCTCATTCCTCCGTAAGCTCAAAATTTTATTCCTAGATAAACACTTGGGGAACTGAAAATTCATTCCTATTTTCATTTCCTGTCATTTTCATTTCCATTCTCATTTTCATTCCTCATCATCAACCAGACCCTGAATTGAGAGGTTCGGAATGATTATTTTGGACAATTTTCCTTTGGATGGGTATTGAACATTTGATCTTTTTTTAGATGGGTATTCAAGATTTTTTTTTTATCAACCTGGATTTCCAACCCGCTATGCGAGCCGACTAATCCCAGGGCGACCACAAGCAGGTAGCCCGGAGTCACCGCATTTGAACCTCCGTGGCCACAAAGGGATTTTTGATTCTTCTTGGATTTGAACCTGGGACCTCCAGGCACTTTTGACCTTTGGAGCCAAGCTCAAACCAATCAGGCACCACCCTTGTGGTTTGGGTATTCAAGATTTGATCTTTTATGGTGTTTGGGATTGCTTACAAAAACAACTTATTGACTTATTTCGGTGTGGCACCAGTAATAAGCACTTTTGAGTAATTGGATAAACAACTTATACCGGTGCCGAACCAGTAATAAGGAGTTTTTGAAAGAAGTTAAATCATTCTAACTTATAATAAGTTGATAAGAACCTTTGTAGAAAAGCATAAGTTGTTTCAAATAAGCAATCCCAAACACCACCAGATGGGGTATTCAAGATTTGATCTGTTCCATTATTGCAGAGTTACAGAGGAAGAAGTGACATCAGTCCCTACTGAGATCAGTTCCAAGAAGCTGAAAGATTTGGGGTTCAGATACAAGTATGGATTGCTGGATGTAATACATCAAACACTTGAATCTTGCATGCAACATGGCTTTCTTCCTCCAACCAAAACACAGAGAAAGTGAGAGCTGGAGGACGTCCGTCAATTCATCTCATAACTCTTGACACATGTGACAGTTTTTTAGCCATGAAACTACAAAATTTAAGGCCCCTCAATCAAGATACTGAAGGGTCTGCATCAAAGAGTAAATGCCAACTGCCTTAGACAGCAAATCTTGAGTATTGTCTCTTCAACTGCTTTCATTCATTTAAAATGTGTCAATTTCATTCCATTGTAGTGGTATGGTTTTGCATGTACCATACAACATCTTAATGGGAAATTGTCCAAAATAGCTGATCAGGCCTCCCCTTCTCTTTATAGTACATTTTCAACAAATTGATTGAAATAGCCGGACGTTACGTTAGTAGCATTTACGTAATTGGTGTAATCCACTTTTTCCAGTGTTATATTCAGGAAAACACAAGTTGTTTAAGCACTACTTGCGTAATCTCGAGCTATCTTGGTCAGAATGTTGAAAAGGTGGCTATAAAGTGAAGCGGGGAGGCATAATTGGCTACTTTGGACAATTTTCCCGTTTAAACCATGCAATGATGTTTTAGCATTATGGAAACAGTCGTTCTACTCTTTGAGATGAAGGTCACGTCTGCATACATCTCACCGTTCTCCTAGACCCCTTTCTCGAAAATGGGATATACTGTGTTTGTTTAGTTTGATTTACTGATTGATATATGGGTTCAAGAGAATCTTGAAAAAAGGTCAATACAAAAGCTATTTCCTTTGGTGCTGTAGTTAGTTGTACCTTAAGCTTTGTTTGTTGTTTTCTTGTGGAAAAGAGATTGGATTCCTAACCTCATGCAACAATTCCTGAAAGGAAACAAAAGGGACAAGAACAAAATTTTACTGCACCAAGTTGCTTATTTTGTAACAGATATGTTTGTAATCTTGGACCACTTTCCCTCTTTTGGGTATTAAATTTTTATACGAATTTGACGAAATCCAAGATGACGTACGACTTTTATTTCATGGGCACTTACGTGGTAAGTGTTTACGGGTAAAATTTACACTATCATTTACTTAACGTGTAAGATTTTAGTCAACAAAAATCGCATCATATGCAACAGTTTACTGAGTAAGCACTAACCGTGGTAAGAGTTATCGCCCTCACTTATCGGGTAAGACTCTTGGTTCTTATCTTGTTCTTAATGGGTAAGATTCTTGGTTCTTGTCATACTCATCCGGTAAGTAATGTGACTTTGTAAGCGCTTATCGAGGTAAGCGTTTGATTAGGTCTTGTTGATCGCTTGTGTGTTTGTGTTAGAATTCTACGTCTGCTAGATATAAACCATTTCTTCTTAACATATTTTGGAACCTCTAATCTTAGTTCAGGGCTCTCTTGGTCTTGGAGGGTAATAATGGAATTTCACATATTCTCTTAGAGCCAAGGTCTATTTAGAGTTGTTTGGTTTGGTTGGTTTTTTCATTAAATCTTGTATGGATTAATCTGTCAGTAAAGACTATAGATTGAGAAGATTTTTTTTTAAAAGGATTTTTTCATGGATGAAAAGAGTGTGGTTTTTAACTGAGAGAGACATGTTTAAAAAAAAATAGTTCTTGTATGAGCTCCCCCTAGAAGCTTAATGAATAAGCCACTTTCATATCATTAACCCACTGCCAAACAGTTACGTATAGCTAGCCAAATATGTTGCGAGTCTCGTCAACTTATTAAGCTGCTAACAAAAAGCCGGTCTAGGGGTCTTGACACCTTGGGACAATCTTTGCCCGTCTAGCCCACTCTCAGAACAATTTTCGTCTCTTCTAGACTTCTAGCCATTGTTATAGGGAGCGTGTTATAGTCCCACATCGAATAGACTTGCTATTTCTTCTCGATATATGTTGGAACCTCCGTTTTCTACTGTGGGATTGTGGACAGAGTCATAAAAGATCCATAATCCAAAACTTTTTATGAATGCACTAATGTAGCTGAATTCATAAAGAAAAACATATGGAAACTAACCAAAATGATGCACAATTCTATCTAAAGAAACCCTTGGCAAGAGCTTAACCAATAAGACATCATCCAATATGTATTTCACTAAAGCTTGCAGATAACCACAAAGCAGGGAAGAAGAGCTTTGGGACTAAGCAAATAAAGATCTTCGATATTCAAATGAAGCCCGACTTTCCCGGCCAACGAATCAAAACCCGACTGCCCGGCAATCTCTTGAATGTTCTCTAACGGCCGGTGCACCCTCCCGGCTATCACTCTGCACACCATCAACGCTCTTCGTGTATCTGGACCGTCATCAGAGACTTCTATCGATTCAAAAGCTCGGGCACTAGTCGAAGTTGTGAAAACGCCAACACCGCCCTTGAGTTCCTTGGTTGTCGAGAACCCGTTTCTTATGATCCGACAAACACAGCATTTGTCGGAAATGCAGAGGCTAGAATCGCCATTGATGCCTAAAGAACAAGCGATTGTGGTTCCGTAAAACCTCAGGAGTTCGTTTCCGTCGGCTAGACATCGAGGGTGTTTCTTGGGAAGTTTGCTAGCTTTGGTTTTCACCAATTCTCTGTATTCTTCAAATCGGGCTAGTGTTTTTTGCATGTTGTGCACTTTTAAAACCTTCTCAATTCGAACTGAACTGTTCTCGGACTTTAACCAGCTCGATCGACAGATTATTTCGACGATCTTTCTTGATGAATCACCCTCCATAAGCTCAGTAACTACCAAAAAAGACAAAAATCTAGATTAAAGTTCCATACCTTTTTTTCAAGATTCATATATGAATAAACGCCACTATGAGGGCTAAATCAAGAAGTGCTAATTCAGCAACATAAAGATCGAATCTTGATGGATTAAATGAGGAATAGAAAATCACAGTAACTACCAAAAACACCAGAATCTGGATTAAAGTTCCATACTTTTTTCAAAATTCACATATGAATAAACACCATTATGGGGGTGAAATCAAGAAGTGTGAATTGAACAACATAAAGATTGAATCTTGATGGCTTAAAAGACAGAAAATTACCAGCATGCTTTGAGAGATGATGGGTTTCAAGATTTTCCCACTTTCCAAACTGTTTGCCACACTTATGGCACGTGACTGTACCAGCAGAAGACCCATAAGATTCTGTCTCCAATGAAACTCTAGGTTTTTGTGGCATTCCAATTCCATTCTTCCCTGTAAAATGACCAGAATTCGCAATTCCATTCCCATCTAACGAATTCGAAAGTGTTCTTCTTTGTTGATTCTTGAAATTATGCATTGTTGGATGCCCACCACCAGGACCAGGTGTACCAGGCATTAAAGTACCCACAAAAGTCGACCCATCACCGCCGCTGGCGGCGGCGCCACCGCCACCGCCACCGCCTCCGCTGCCATCATGAAACCCACCACCAAAACCAGTGATTTTAAGCTCACACCTTGAATCGCTGAGAATAACTTCATGGGTAATCGGGTTTAGAAACTCACTGCTTCCAATAGATCTAGGACTGCAACTCACTGGCTTCTCCGAGTGTCTTTTGCTTCCGCCATGGATGACATCCTTAAGGTTTGCTATGGACCTCGAACAACCCGACCGACCGGGCTTTCGGGTCAAGATTGTGGCTAAATGCTTCTTGGATTTCGGGTCGTGGACATCTGATGGCTCCGATTTACAGTGAAGTGACTTCTTCAAAGAGAACCAAACTGTTGGCATATCTTAAAAGCTTCTTGTTTGTTCTTCTTCTTCCCCTTTTTAAAAGTGAAACCCTTTTGAACCCATTTTCAAAAAGCTGCAAACTTTCACAAAATTTAAAGGGTTTTCGTTTGATTTTGAAGTGGAAGGAGAAGGTGTTCAGTGGCGTTAATAAATGACAAGCAATTCTGTTCAAAATGAAAAAATTAAAGATTTTCTGACAGCTATGAAATTAAAGAGAGAAAGACATTCACGAGTTATCTTTAAATTAAATGAATTCAATCAAATGAAATTTGGAGATTTGCTTTTTGGTCCATTAAGTTTGTCGATTTTAACGGGTATTGTTTCTAAACTTTAAAAGATTCGGATTTGGTCGTTTACGTTTGTCATTTTGTGACGGTTTTGGTTTCTTCTTCTAACGTTTGCTAGCTTTTTTCCGTTAAGTTTAATTAAATGAAGGGTATTTTAGTCATTTAAGAGAAATTAACCTATTTAACCGTATTAACCATCTTTTTTTTAAATATAGCCGACGCTTCTTTTTTTTTTTCAAAATGTCTGAAATCTCGTAAGTTTGACACAAGAAGCCATCTTTTGCTTGCGGTGGTGGATTTTTTTTGGCATATTCTGTGAAAAAATGAGATTACATTTTTAGAAGGTGAAACCGCGAGTTGTGGTGCCACAAGCCTAAACCGTAACTTGCGATGTTGCGGGTCAGATCTAAAACTGCAATTTAACTTTTGGTTTTTGAAAATCTATGTTTTTCTTGTCTAAGCGAATAGATGGAAAGAGACCAAGGGTTGTTTTTTACCTCTTAATAGCTCCATTAAAAGTCGGTATCTGAATCTTTTGTTTGGCAAAAAAAAAAAGTTTGCATCCTAATGGTCTTAGAACCTTCTAAATGATTTTGTATTTTGGGTCTCCCTTAACCATTCAGCGCTCTAATTCCATTGTAAATAGTTACCGAACAATTATATTTCATTTTGCATTATATCATGAGAGCCTCTTAATCATTCGGACTATTTAATCATTTTGCATCAAACAATTCAACAACTGTCAAACAAATATCTATATCATAACAACTAAGAAAAATGCTTGCAAAAAAAAGCCAAAAGCGCAAGTTGCGGTTTTAGATTTGGCCTGTTGCACAACAAGTTGTAGCATCGCAAGTTGCCGTTTTACCCTCGAAAACGTAAATTTCTTTTTTCACATTATATATCATAAAAAGTCTAACACCACAAGCAAAAGGTGGCTTTGCAGTGTCAGCCTTGTGGGTCAACGAACAAAAGTGGAAAATTAAAATGAAAATTGGTGGCTAATTTTTAAAAAGGCAAATTGCATGAAAAAGTAACGTACTTTAACTTGATTCATATTTTAGGTAACGTACTCTCAGAACTTTCATTTTGATATCTAAGATGTAAAGTTTTAAACATTTAAGTATCCGGTTGAAGCATTAACCGGTTAGATTAAGATATTTATATCAGCAAATAACACTGAGTTTGATACAATATCACTCGCCATATCAACATGTAACCGGTTGTTGCTTCAACCGGTTACTCAAGTACTTAAATATTTTAAAATTTTACATCTTAAGTATCGAAATGGAAGTTTTGAAAATACGTAACTCAAAATAAGAATTAAGTTAAGGTACGTTACTTTTTCATACAATTTGCCCTTTTAAAAAAGGTAACCCAAGATGACTATTTTGGTTAATTACTCTTCATTTAATCAAGTGGTGATGAACTCAAAAAAAAATATTTAAAATGACTAAAATAGCCTTTATTTAATTAAAATTAATGAAAAAAGTTAACGGCCGTTAAAAAAGGATCAAAACCATTATGCAATGACAAATGTGAGGGACTAAATCCGTGTTTTTAAAGTTTAGAAATGATATACGTTAAAATTGACAAAGTTTAAGGACCAAAAGTGAAGTTTACTCCTGATTTGAAATTTAAAGAAGATACAATAACTAGAATTCTAAATTTAACATTGATTCGATTTGTTCCTGTGATTTAATCCCATACGCAATTTCTTCATTTAATAATCCAAGCATTGATTTCTTTAGCCATTTATGTTTTTATTGTTATAAATTATATATTTGTAATTATAAATAAATGCTAAAATAATATATATTGATACTGATAGAAATCAAGAACAGATGAATAATCAAAATCTGGTTAATTTAAGAAAACATAAACTAACAAAATCAACTGTTAAAATACGATAAGGATTCGGAGTGAATGATACTAAAATCTAAAGAGTTGTTTGGTTGTTTTTCTATTAAATTCTATATGAATAAAGTTGTATGTGTGGATTAATTTAGAGCAAATTGTATGAAAAAATAACGTACTTTAACTTGATTCTTTATTTTGGGTAATATACTTTCAAAACTTTTATTTTGGTATCTAAGATGTAAAGTTTTAAACATTTAAGTATCCGGGTAACCGTGTTGAAGTATTAACCAGTTACCATGCTGATGTGGCTAGTGATGTGGTATCTAACTCAGTATTATTTGCTGACATGGATATCTTAATTTAACCGGTTAATGCTTCAACTGGTTATCTGGATACTTAAATGTTTAAAAAATTTTACATTTTAGATACCAAGACGGAAGTTTTGAAAATACGTTACTTTTTCATGCAATTTACCCATTAATTTATTTGTATATGTTGGGAAGATTTTTATTTGGGAGAATTTTTTTTTTATAGATGGAAGTGACGTGTTTTTTAATTGGCGGAGACATGTTTGGAATCAACTTGACTTTCTACATAAAACTCCCCCAAGAAGCTTATTGAATAAGTTACTTTGATATTATTAAGCTACTACCAAACATCTATGTATAACTGATCGGATAAACTATAAGTCTTGTTAGCCTCATTAAGTTGGTAACAAACAGACTCTAAGAAACAGATAATAAACTTTGTCTAATACAATATTATCTATTCATGTTTTGTCAGTGAAAATCTAAATTATCGTATTTTTTTGCGTCGGAAAAACTTTAATTTCTAAGCACTGAACATGGTAATTGAACTCGTCGTCAACTAGATGCCAAGAAGGTACTGGTTCCAGGTTCCCAACAATGAAAAAGCACGACGCATTTTTCGAATCTAACAAATGTATAAAGCAGTGTCGTTTTATAGCTGAAAATATGTTACGTGTGTAAAAGTATTATTATTCTGTAAAAAGAAAAACACTTTAAGATGAAATATATGTCTTTTTTTATTTAAACTCGTTTGCATTGTGGAATACTATGTATTCTTTGGTGTTTGGATCAGTTACGGGTATCTCGGTCTCGTGGACATACACGATACAGGGTTATGTTATAAGTATGCATGCATTTCCTGTAAAATGGTTTTATGTGTATACCGCTAATTATTAAGTTATCGAAATCGTGCATACACCTCCTGTCTTGGCCAAAAAAAAACGACGTATGAACCACAAGGGTGGTGCCTGATTGGTTTGAGTTTGACTCCAAATGTCAAAAATATCAGGAGGTCGCATGTCAAATTCAAGGAGAAATAAAAATTCTCTTGTGGCCACGGAGATTCAAATGCGGTGACTCTGGGCTATATGCAAAGCAGGTGGTCGCCCTGAGATTAGTCAGCTCGCATAACGGGCTGAATATCCAAGTTAATAAAAAAAACAATGTGTGTATTTTAAATTCTCGTTTCACTTTAAACAATTATTGGGTCATTTAACTCTCAAATCTGCATTAAATGTCACATATTTATAACTTTGTATTTAAACGTTCGTTTCACTTTAAACGATTATAAAAGCTTATCGAACAAAAAAATCTATTGCTGACTTCATATTGTTGTTTGACCTTCTATATTGTAAAGATTCCATCCAGGGGCAGATTGAAAAGGTATATGGGTTGGGGGCAAATGCCCCCCAACAAATCCATGAGTTGCACGTTTAAAAAAGAGTACCAAGTTTTTTTTTTTAATACCAAAGTTACAAATGTGCCCCAACATATAGAAAAAGCCCCCAACACCCGTTGCTCCCCCACTTGACTATCGTTTGTAATGTAAATGTTGTTTGATTTAAGTTAATTATTATTTTATTTTATATTAAACCCAGACAGATAATTCTTTTGGATCCGTTACTACTCCCATATCCCGTGAACCTCGCCTCCAAGATTCCGAGTCCCCATCCACAGTAAACCTTTCATAGATTTGTTACCTTGTCATCTTTATCCTGTACTGCTCAGCCCATATAAACTTTCTCATGGAAGGAATTTTAGTGAAGCAGGGCCATTCATTACCAAAGGATTTTCAACCAATTGTTGAGGTCTCTTCCAGCCTCCTCCCGCACCATCACTGTTATGAAGTTCATATGGTTGTCAAAAAATTGATGAGATGTTGGCGCACGATGCCATCACATTCAAGATGTGCCAGTTGCAGTAGAGACCCAAAAGAAAAGTTCTTGTTTTCCCGAGCAAGGAGACCGACGTTGGAGTTTTGGTGTTGGTTTCCGTTGTAAGATGAGAGGGATGAAGAATCAAGATTCACAGTGAATGAATAACTTGGCGAGAATTTTGTTTTAAATGAATTATTCACATTCTAATTTTTGGGATAGAATGACGTTTGACTAGAGAAGGGTGAGGGGGAATAAACAGGGGAGGGAAAAGGGGCTTGTTAGACAAGAGGGAAGGGGCCGAAAATGGGCGAAGGCCAAAAACGAGGGAGATCAGCAAGAATTCTTGGTCTCGGCTTTCAAGTTGGCAGGAGGGAAAGGACACAAAGGAGCACCGTGGGTGCAGTAAAACGTTTTTAATAACAACAGGTAACTCGACTAAAATATCTCTGAGTTTAAAGAAAATTTCAGAAATGGTTAGGGTAAGAGATCTAATCCATAACAAAAGTGAAACTATAAATACCGATCCCTGAAAAAAATAAATTAAAGGGACTTGATGTGTAATTTTCATATAACAAGGGACGATATTTGTAATTCACTCAAGTATGGAAAAGATATATTTGCTCCGATTGGGCCGGCCCATTTGTAACCCGAGAGCGTCAGACGGTTAAGAAGTGAATCCAATGGATAATTCCGGTAGGACCGCCAGATCTAATTCAATCTATGGCTATTAATCAAGATCCGTGTGCTTCAATCTTATTGGTCGGAATCATAACAATCTACCCACTATATAAACAAACGGAGCCCTTTTCCTCCCATGATAAAGTAGCATTCCGATCGGTGTTTCCATCTTCAACCTGAGTAAATCTACAATTTTCCGTCGCCAAATCTCTCTAAACAATGGCCGGACGAGGGAAAACCCTAGGATCTGGAGCGGCAAAGAAGGCTACTTCAAGAAGCAGCAAAGCCGGCCTTCAATTTCCCGTTGGTCGTATCGCTCGTTTTCTTAAAGCCGGTAAGTATGCCGAGCGTGTGGGTGCCGGAGCTCCTGTCTATCTCGCTGCCGTCCTTGAATACCTCGCCGCTGAGGTAATTTTCTTGATCTGTTTTGTTTGAGATGTTTTTTTTTTTGATTCAATCGTGATGTAATTTTTTAGGGTTTCGTTTTTTTTTTTTTGTTGAAATTATAATCGTGGAATTGATTTTTATCAGGTCCTTGAATTGGCTGGCAACGCAGCAAGGGACAACAAGAAAACTAGAATCGTTCCGAGACATATCCAATTAGCGGTGAGGAATGATGAAGAATTGAGCAAGCTTCTTGGCGACGTCACCATTGCTAATGGTGGTGTTATGCCCAACATTCACAACCTTTTGCTCCCGAAGAAGGTTGGTGGTTCTTCAAAGCCGTCCGCTGACGAAGATTAGGGATACGAGATGGACGGGGATTGCGAATCGTATTGAACTACATTCTGTTTGTGTCTGTTAGGGTTTCAAATTACGGTCTTTTTTGGTTCAATTTGTGTTTGTAGGAGTTGTATTAGAGATAGGGTTCCAAACTTCCAATCAACTAATGTGTATATCTGTCATTTTAGTGCGACATTCTAAGCTTCTTCATAATGAATATCAGTTCTATTACTACATTTCTTATATTCTTCTCGTTCATATGTGTTTACTGGATTCTTATCCGTTGCAATGCCTGTACATTCATTTATGAATCTTTATCCTTCTTGATATAGATGTTTTTTCTTTATTTGTTTTGGATTTTGAAGATTTGCAGGCAAGACTTCAGCTTTAGGAGGCAGTTTGCAATAATCCTCTTTGTTGGTAAGCTGGGTTAATTAGGGTTGACATTGGTTTATATGTTACCTGTTCATTGTTAGTGATGTATTTGAACCCCATTTTGGTTATCTTGCTTTGTTATGAAAGTTTAATCCATTAGATGTTTCTGCCTAATTCCATTTAATGATCCCTTTTAATGATATGTTGGGTTATGGTGTTTGATGTTAGTTTTTATGTTTGTTCATAGCCGTTGATGCATTTGAATCCCTGTTTGTTTATGTTGTCGTGGGTCAGTTTGAAGTCTTTACTTGAGTTTGATATGCATATGTTATGAGCTTATAAGAACTCTCCACATTGGTAGTTTTTACAAACCACATCCCTTTTTCTTATAAAAAGCTTGCATTAGAGAGGCTCTGAACAACAAAGGGTTGCTGACGATGATAATGACACAACTGCTGAGTCTGAGTGAGTAAGCATCTCAATCATCACTAAGAGCCGTTTACTAAATGCTTACTGGAGTCATTTACCTTACTTGATAAACATAGCAAGAGCCAAGAGACTTACCCGGTAAGTGCAATGGTAAGGGTGGAGAGTTTTACCGGATAAGTGTGGGTCACGAGTTTTACCCAATAAATAAGTTATAGCGTCGACTCTTACTGGTAAGCGGCCTGACAAAATTACTTGTAGCGATCAACACAGTACCAGCAATCAAGCTTGCCATAAAATGGAATCGTTCTGTGCCCTAAGTTGATGGGAATTTGAAAATCGTAGAAGTTCGAATTTGAAGTCCTTACATGAGCTTGATATGCATGTGTATATGGACTTATTGCTTGTTACTTTTACCTTTCATGATTCTGAACTTTGATCATTGATTTGATACTCTCAATTGTTTTTGTATGTTTATTCGAATTCAATCTAAAACATAGTTAAATTGTTACAAATCAACTGACATATTTTTATGCAAATACTATGTATCTAACATTAGGTTCCTATTTGGGTTTACAGATATAAAATTTACTATCTAGCATATTGTAACGGTGAGTTCGTTGTTTGAATTTGTTCCGTATGTAGGGGTATCTGTTGTAGTGTTTTTGTAAAAAAAATCCGGAAACTTAGGTGGGGGCAGTTCATAATCGCTCTCAAACATTAGAATCACAGAATACATGGTTGGCCTATCTTCTGGACGTGGTTGAACACACAACGACCGTATCACTTCTGACGAACAGATTGATTCATCTACAGATGCTGCAACCATTTCCATGGATCTGCCTTCTGTATGGAGTCCCATGCCTATCCAGAAAGAAAGAAAGATAAACCAGTAAGACGCCATAAGCTAGCTTATTGAAAATCCCCCTTTTGGTTAGCCATAAGAGCTACCCTTTTGAAAAGCTACACTTTTGGTTTTTCAAAGAGCTTATCAGCCAACAACTAGCTTATGAACTAGTTTGCCTAACATAGCCTAAGCATAAGAGTGCATGAAGATAGGCAACTTAATTGAAACAAAACTAACATGTCCGAGAAGGTTGTGGCTGTGTTCTTTGTGGACAAATCCTATGTTTTTCTTTCCGCCCACAATCTCCAGCATTAGGACACCGAAGCTAAATACATCTGATTTTATTGAAAAGATGCCTTCTACTGCATACTCTGGTGCCATATGGCCATTGCAGCAAATTTGTTGTTTAATTCAAGAAACTTTACTAAATAAACACAAGTAAATTGGTCAAGTGATAGGTACAATGAATCTCACTATGTTCCAAGTCACTTCCAACCACTGTGTTTGCCTCTATCTGATTTCCTCCAAAGCTTCTGGCCAACCCAAAATCTGATATCTTCGGGATCATATCGTGGTCAAGCAAAATGTTGCTGACTTTGAGATCTCGATGGATGATCCTGAGTCTTGAATCTTGATGAAGATAAACAAGTCCCCTAGCAAACGCCTCTCAAGTATTAGGGCACGTCAGTACATGACCAGAGGGTCATTGGCTCAGCAGTATTTGGATTGTCGGTAGAGCACGACCTCTTTGGAGGTCCAGCCGTCAAGGGTTCAATCTCACCAAAGGCGACAACCGTAAGTTACTTTTGCCATATATAAATATTAGAGTAAACTACAGTTTTCATCCCTGTGGGTTGTTGAAAATTTCCTATGACGGTTTGTGTCTAGTCCATGTGTGACTCCAAAATTAGCTAGTCATTCTAGCAAACTGTCAAGTCATCCACTCATTTGCTACCTTGTAAACGGGTCCAAAACCACCTTCGCCGAGCTTATTGTTGTCTGAAAAATTGTTGGTAGTTTTACGTAGTGTAGAGAAGTCGATCAGTGGTAGTTCTACATCATCCTTCGAGTTCTCGTTGCCAGGGGATTATCTCCATAATCTCCCTCTACTGTCCCTGAGAAAGAGCAAATGTCAACGACAACCGAACTATATAATCTGCTTCCCAAATCAAATTCAAAGATCGAAACAAGACCAAAAATAGAACTACCTTCTTGCTTCGCCTTCCACTTCTTAATTCGATAAAATAGGCACACAGAAAGTAGTATAACCAATAATACCGATATTATAGGGACGATAATCGCTACTCGTTTTTTTTACACTCGAGCTTTTACCATTTGCTGCAATGGCAGTATTGCCTATTAAGCAGATAAAATCAAATTCTTAGTGAGAACAAACCAAATGACTCAGAGATGTGCCTTGGTTCAGCACAAGAATGTATAGAAACCTGTCGAAACGCGATGGATTTAAAAAACACTTGTCGGAAGTCATTTAGCTAACGATTTACCTAATTCCGATGCTGGCATTCTTATATAAAGATCCTGTCCGTTTACTGGAAGTGTTTGGATATCGATCAGGTTACCGAACCAAAGCAAGCAACCACTTCCGGTTCCTGTTATATTCTGAGTAGTATAAGCAGTACAAATGCAGTTCTTCTTGCAAACCATCTCGCAGTTGTCAAGATTCATGCTTTGGTTAAACCATGACTCCTGTGTGTCCGGCAACTTTAGGTTCGAATACTTCCTAAAACTCTCCCGCGGTCCACAATCCAAAGGAGTCGAACGCTGACACCCTTGAGACCAAACCGCCGCATTCCACTGGTCCGGTGATGTCGGCTCGAACCCTTCCAAACACCCACAAGGCGGCTAAGTTGGTGATATTACAGCTCCCGAATGAGCCACAAAGCCCATAGCTGTTACAGTTTTCGGTGGATGGAGTCGAATACCCTAACCATTCTTGCCTGCTCTCCTTCCATATCATCCTTTCTAACCTACCAGTAGGATGCATGACTAACCTTGACACTTCCGAACTATTAACATCATCAAAATGGTAATACATTTCTCTTTGATTAAGAACAAACCCAAATTTGTAAACCGGATTTGGCCTCATTTCAGGCAAACCGCTGAACCTAAGTCCGTTCCATGGACCTGCCCGGAAAATTATTTTGGAGCCATACCGGACGATCATCTGCGGGTACCCTTTAGTATCAATCCATAGAGTATAGTCCCCAGGAGAAGGATCATTTTCACTCTTCCATGACGTCAAGTACCTTTCGAGCCCTGTAACCAAATCTTTTCCGAGCTTCATTCTGGCAACAAACGTATCCGTTGGAATATCAAAACTTTGCCAAATAGAATTCTCCGGGTTACCATTTTCCTCCCGGATGACAAAGTTACCGGTATCTAAAAGCTGAGCCACTGGTTTTCTCATTGACGGAAGTGACGAATTAGACGAGGACCAGATGACGTTGCCGGTGGTGTTACGGAGCACCAGGATTCCGTGGATAGTAAGAGACAGCTCGCCGGAGTTATCGGAGAGTGGTGAGTTCCGGTTGGCCACCCACATAACCGTTTGGGTTCTGGAAGTGGGAGGTATTCTCTTGTACCAGATACCAACGTACCATTTTGTAGAATTTTCGGGGTTAAAGAAACCAAGCTCGAAGGTTTGTTGAGCTGAAATAATGGCTTCCTCATTTCTAATGGTTTGGTTTGCAGAGATGGTATCTGCTGCGGTGGTACAAGTGATCAATGCACAGAGTACAACCATTAAAAACCAAAAATCGGTAACTTCTTCTTCCGCCATTGATGTCGTCATCATCTACCACTGTTTGCCATGAAATTGCGTCTTTATTTACATCTATTTAGCCTATGACGTACGTAATAATTTTGAGAGTAAATTACCTTTTTAGTCCTTTTTGTTTGTTGAAAATTATGATTTTCAACCTTATGGTTTGTAATTTATCGTTATCATTGTTATTATGATTTAAATTTTATTGTTGTTTTCGTGGTTTACAATTTATTGTTATTTTAGTTCTTCAAACTTAAAAACAAGAGAGTTCAGGGACGAAAATAGTAAAAATTTACTAATTATAAAGACAAAAACTTCAATTTTCAAACTATAGGGACAAAAGATGAAAATGTTGATAAACAACAGGAACTTGAAACGTAATTTACACTTTATAGAATCGCGACCTCGTTCGAAAAGACCGACTTTTTGCAACGAATTCGACCATTCGTAGTATTTCGTTGTCACCTTCATTAAATAACATTTATTAAATATTTAAGAGAGGAAAATTTATATTTATGTTATATTATAAATTAACATTTGATAAAGGTTTTTAAAAATTGTTTTTATAAAATTCAAAATTCACTTAGAAGTTGTCTCTTAATGAAATTATTAAGAGGAAAACAAACAATCTTGAAAATAGATAATAAAATGAGACTTGAATCAGGATTAAGATCGAGTTTTCACCTCTTACCATGTAAGAACGAAGACAATAACCAAGAGTGTTACTCCGTAAATGAAACCAACAACTTTTACCACAGTTAGCATTTATCAGGTAAATTATTACATGTGATGCTAAATTAAAATAATATATCATAAATAAATGATAATGTTGAATTTTACCGTAAATGTATACTATGTACGTGTATATAATATTTTACTAGTCAACACAACGACAACTACAAAACACCCAATAAAACGACATCATTTTGTGGCCTAAATTAGCGCATAATAAGAACACATTAATTAGAATCAGCAAATCGCAAAAGTTCAAATGTCGCAAAATCTTCCATTCACAATCGATGCCAATTACAATCTAACAGACAAATCCACAACTATAATCCCTTTTAGGGCTTGAATTCAAAACCCTAATCATCACCTTTAGAAGAAGCAACAGGAGATTTCTTAGGAAGCAGATGAGCATGAATATTAGGCATCACTCCGCCATTAGCAATCGTCACTGCTCCAAGCAATCTGCTCAGTTCTTCATCGTTCCTCACGGCCAATTGTATATGACGCGGCACAACTCGAGTCTTCTTGTTGTCTCTGGCAGCATTTCCAGCTAACTCCAATACCTCCGCCGCAAGGTACTCCATCACGGCAGCCAGATACACCGGCGCACCGCCTCCGATCCGTTCAGAGTACTTTCCAGATCTGAGGAAACGAGCGATTCGACCGACGGGAAACTGGAGTCCCGCCTTGCTGCTTCGCGATGTTGACTTCTTGGTTACGGCAGCAGAACCGATGGATTTTCCTCTTCCCGCCATTGTTCCGACTTCCGATTTGTAAATGAAATGAAACAGGAGATCTCTGTGGGGTTTGTTTCAGTCTGCGACTGTTTTTGGTACTTTTATAGGATCGTGTGGTGGTGAAAAGAAACCAATAAGAACAGATGACGCGGATCGAGAATACGAGCCGTTGATTTCAATCTTTTATAACGGACGGCAGATATCATCACTGATTATAAAATCCCTTTTTGTCTTTACCATTTTATTCTTTATTATATTTAAAATAAAATATTATTTAAGATAAATTCTTTGAGTAAATTACATTTCTGGTCCCTGTAATTTACATGAAATCACATAATACGTCCGTAACTTGTTACGAAGATAACCAACCCCAACCCAATTAAAACGTTCATAAAAAATCAATTCTAGACTTCATATAATCGATTCTTTTTTTCTTTTGAAGTATATATAATATTTATATACGGTAAATGCAACAAATAAATTCACACACCCTCCTCACGTTTAGTGAAAATTAAACCCCTAATCTTTTAGGAAGCCAATGATTACGATACCGCTAGACAAAATGCCCTATAGTCAAAGATCAATTCTTTTTTTTATTCTATTCTTCAAAATTTCATTTTCAAAACTAAGCATATTTTCGTGTTCTACCAAAGAATCTAAAAAAGATGGAAGAAATCATTAGAAACCCACACTTGGATCATGATCATCACCACCTTCATTCCCCCAAATCTTCATCCACAATTCGAATTCCTTCCGATCACCATCCTCGATCGGATCACTCTCTTTCGTAAACTTCGTCTTCACCTGTTCGAGTTTCGTTTTCCATACGTCTTTGTTTCCGATATGGAAAATTAGCCATGGGTAGAGGAAGTTTTTCATGGCGGTCGGATTGTCAAACGGGAATACACCTTTCTTGGAGTGATAATCAAGAATACTCTCCAACACTTCAATGTCGTCAAGATCAACATCTTGTCCAATCTCTTTCCGTTTGCTGGTGGTGGCATGTTCAACGTCAGCAGTGGTGGTGGTGGTGGAGGGTGGATCTCTGTTTGGGCGTTTGTTTGCCAGACAGGCGGCGGCGGCGGCGGCGTTCTTCCGCTTGGTGGATGATTTTCCGGCGGCGGGAGTGGGAGGTTTTGGGTCAGGTGGGGAGTGAAGTGGGTCCGCCATGGGAGATCAAATTGGCGATTAGCGACTGTTCAGAAAGAATCTGTGGGGAAGATGATGGAGGGAAATTGTTGAGAAAGCGTTGATTGAATTATGACCGACTGATTCAGCTCTTGAATGTTTGTTTTATGATTAAGAGGCACTTCTTAACCTATTATATTTGAATGTGACAAAATCGATACCAACCTTTTCTCATTAAACCATTTCTTTTATACTTAAAAATTTCTTTTATACTTAAAATTTCACAGCAAAACACAGTGAATGTGGTTTTTCTTTTGTGAAGATTCAGAATTTTTTTTACTTTCACAATATTTTGTGAAGTTTCAAGTGTAAATAAGTGGTCTCATAGATCTTACATAAACAACTTAATTTCACGTGAACCCAACCTTGAATGACAAATATATATATACACTGTGATATCTGTTATAATATACAATTTTTTTCATCTAAGACTAAACTCTAGAATTTTGGTTAGCATATATTTCTTTGTGTTTGTTTTACACATATTTGTTTTGTAACCTGAATCTTTTTAATAAAAGTTACATGTACAAAGTTTCTTATTGTGAACCGCATATAAGTGAAATGAACATATTGTAAAACAAATATATGTTCATCAATACATTAAATGTAGCCTTAAATGAAAATAATAATATGAAACAATATATATATATATATATATATATATATATGATTGTTTAGGTCAAAATAATGTTTATTATTATGCAATTCAGCTTGTGGGTTTGAATTACAAAATCTTGGTTTAAACCACATCACACCATATCTGTTTGTGGGTTTGTAGAAAATAGAATAAATAAACGTACACACTCTCCTCATCTTTGGTGAAGTTTGAACATTTGACTTTATAGAACAAAAAACTCGTATACTGTCGGGCCAAAGACCCTTTAATAATTTATAGAAAAGTTATGTGGGTTAATTTGTAGTTTTGACTCTAAACCGTAGAAAACACCCTTAGTTTTGATATTGTTTCCAAATATTGTTGTCATTTGGAAAAATCAAAAATCAAAAATTCTTTTTATTACAAAATGTGGTCAAGTTTTATATAAATGGAAATTAGAATTCAATCAAGCTCCGTTTCACCAATTTCGCTCCCTCTCCACATGTAATTTAGTGAAACTCACCATCGTCAATTTGATCTCTCATGGTGTAACGAGTTAACTCAGTCATCTTCTACATTCTCCTTCGGCCCGAAAACCTTTCACACATAATGCCAACAATTAGTATATGTCACTTAAAAGATAAAGATAAACGTTTAAAATCATCAAGATCTTTATCTTAAAAACGGTCTCTCATGATCAAATCAGTAATTTGTATAATAAGAAAATCTCCACGTTTGAATCAATCATAATTGAAAAGAAACACTAATGAAATATGCCGGAACAAATCCCATCTAAAGCATAATTATGGGTTTGTTTTGGATTAAAAGTGATCAAACGTACAAATTCTTTGTTACGCTTCTTATATTTTTCACATTTAACTCCTATTCTCGCTGTTCAATAAAGGTGAAAGAATTCATGTTGGATTTCCAGAAATCGTTACGAACCCCCACTCTGGTCACGATCATCACCTCCATCATTCCCCCAAATCTTCAATCGGATCACTCGCTTTTGTGAACTTCATGGCGGCCGGATTTTCAAACGGGAATACACTTTTTCTGGAGTGATAATTAAGAAGACCCTCCAACACTTCAATGTCTTCAACATCAACATCTTGTCCGATCTCCTTTCGTTTGCTGGTGGCAGTATCTTCAACGTCAGCTGTGGTGGTAGTGGAGGGTGTATCTATGTTATGGCGTTTGTTAGCCGGAGAACCAGCGGCGGTGGTGATCTTCCGCTTGTTGGGTGATTTTCCGGCGGCGGGAGTGGAAGGTTTTGCCTTTTGGGTCAGGTGGGGGTGTAGAGGGCGGGGAGTGAAGTGGGTCCGCCATGGGAGATCAAACCGGCGATCAGCGACTGTTTTCAGTTATTTTAGAAAGTATCTGTCGGGAAGATGATGATTGGTTGAATTATGAGTGATGGTTAGTATTTATTTACCTAATTGCTTATCCGTTAATCGCTTATTAATAGGAGTCAACACTGTGATTTATTTTGATGCGTAAGATTTTAGTATATTAAAACATATCGAATGCAACAATTTAGTGGGTAAGCGCTTACCCGGGTAAGAGTCGGCATCCTCATTTACCGGGTAAGACTCTCCATCATTTTCCTCGCTCTTAACCGGTAAAATTCTTGACCATTCTCATGTTCATCCAATGAAGAAATTTATCCGGTTAGTATTTACCAAGTAAGTGTTTAATAAACGGCCCCTTAGTAAGTTGTTACGATGGTCAAGATGAAAATTTGAATTTGTGATAAAAATAAAATATTTTAATTGTTTAATGTCAAAATAATCAAAAAACGGATTAAAAATATTCATAGTTCGTTTATCAAGTATTTAATGGGTGTCACTTATTTTATCGTAGGATGATCACAATGATCGAGAATCTTACACGGTAAGGGTGTATTTTAGTACACCGAACATAGATCACTATTCCGCGTTTAACATTACTTTTATATCGAACAAACAAAAACATAGTGGAACAGACGTACGGAAACAAAGTGGAACGAACCAATGTTTTACCAATACACCGTCAAATAAACTTAATTCTCTTCTAAAATATCAAATACGGCTTTCTCTTTACATTTTATCTATTCTTTAATTGTATCGAAGAAAATTTTCTAATGATATATTTTGTTATAAAAAATATTTATTTCATTATAATTTAATAAATTACATAGATTAATCAAGATATAAACAACTCTTTAGAGGTAAATTGGTCATGTCTTACCAAACAAGAGCCAATAATTTTATTTTGTAGGTGAGAGAGAATGCTTTTATCTGGTAAGTGTTTATCAGGTAAAAGATGATTACAGATAATTTATTTTGACGACAGAAAATGTTATCCGAGAAGATAAACAAGAGTGATAACATTTGCTGATAAGCGTTTATCCGGTAAGATTTAATATACTAAAATTTCAAATGATTGCAAAAGTTGATTTTCATTTTCTAATTATCGATTGATCTAAATATTCGGACCTGGTTGAACATTTTAAAGATTTACGATAACGTTTATTATTGAGATGAATATAGACTTAGAGAAGCGATCAAATGCAGAACATCCATATTTGTGCAAATCATGCAAACCATTCTCATCCGTCTATCTCATTGTTTAATCTTATGAATTTTTTTTCATGAAATTGTTTCATATAATACTTTTTTGATAAATTTGTTTCATATATGATGATGAAATTGTTTCATATTATACTTATGAAATTGTTAATAAAACCGTTTCATGTATTTCTCTAAAATTAATATAATGAAAATGATAAATTCATGATTAACACCCCCCACAATAGAAATGAACAAAATAAAAAATTATGATTGATTGATTGAGGTTTGTACGGTTTGTACGAATAACGAGGTTTGCAAAGTATAAAACCTCCTCTACAATACAGACAATTACAAATGATATGGAGTAGGCGTCGCACGTGAACTTCAATGACTACAAGGGTTTTCAGTTTTGGTAGAAATTTCATTAAAATCATATTCAACTGATTCTCTAAATTGTTGATTTTAGAAATTCTTGTTACAACAGATTATTCAAAACTTTCTTCAAAATGGAGAACCAAAGTTCAAAATCTCTGAAAAAATTGGATTCAGCTCTAACAGATTCTTTATTTTGAAGATTATATTATTAATTATATTATTAAAATAATTCATGCTTTTAATTAAAATTTATATTATGGGTTCCAAAATTCAAAGAAAGATGATGAGACGGTGGCCGGAGGTCCTTCTGAACCTAGCCACTCCGCCTTCCCCGATCAATGTCAACACCTATCTCCGGCCACCACAGACGGCGGATGGAGAATTCCAGTTCAAATGAAAGATTATTGAGTAGGGTTTTGTTATCCACAACAAAGATCGATTCTCTTCTTATTCAATTCTGTAGAAACTTCATTTACAAAACTAAACCATACCTTCGCCTTCTACCGAAGAATTCAAGAAATCATTACGAACCCACGCTTGGATCATGTTCATCACCACCTTCCTCAATCGCCCAAATCTGCTTCCATATTTCGAATTCCTTGCGTTCTCCATCCTCCATCGGAACACTCTCTTTCGTAAACTTCGTCCTCACGTGTTCCAGTTTCATTCTCCATCCAGCTTCGTTTCCGATAGACATAATCAGCCATGGCATGATGAAGGTTTTCATGGCGGTCGGATTTTCAAACGGGAATACACCATTCGCGGAGCGAAATTCAAGAATTCCCTCCAACACATCAATGTCGTCAAGCTCGACATTTTCTACGATCWCCTTCCCTTTGCTGGTGGCGGCATCTTCAATGTCAGCGGTGTTGGTGGTGGAGGGTGAACCTCTGTTAGGGCGTTTGTTTGTCGGAGAAGCAGCGGCGGTGGTGTCCTTCCGCTTGTTGGGTGATTCTGCGGCGGCAGGAGTGGGAGGTTTTGGGTCAGGTGGGGAGTGAAATGGGTCCGCCATGGGAGATCAAATTGGGGATTGTTGCAGAGAGAATGTGTGTGGAGAAGATGATGGAGGGAAATGGTTGAGAAAGTGGTTGATTGAAGTATGAATGACAAACTCGGGCTTTTGAAAGTTGTTGGGGTTAAGGGGCACTTCGTAACCGATTTTATTTGAATTTGAATGTGTGACAAATACAACCGATATATATATATAACTAATACAACCTTCGTCTAATCAGTTGTATTGATTGTACAAATGAAAACACATCTTTATATATATATATATATATATATACGTGTATGTATTATATAGTGGACGTTTTATTTACAAACTATATATAAGGAAACAATAAAGATATTTCTGAAAATTTACCATGATCCATTAATTAGATGGACGATTAAGATTGATTTATATATATATATATATATATATATATATATACACACACACGTATGTATTATATAGT